CATCTAAGGATCATAGTATTACCTGCGTGCTCGTTCCACACTCAAGTGGCTGAAAAGTAGTGGTATTTGGCTTTCAAAAGCAGCTCTTATGATTTTGAAAATCCTACACTGCTCTGCTCTTGAATGGCAAAAACCCGAGGGTGTTGATGACTTAACAGAACCTTCTCTTAATGTGTTAGCCTAAGCTTTGGTTTTCTAACACCCCTGAAAGTCCTTTTCAATATCCATGTTCGTCTGCTGCAATTCAAAGTCTTAGTTCTCATAGCTTGGGTTTTCCCATCTCTACATGGCAGCAACTAACTCTTCTCCTTTGCTTTTTTTAGTTGCTCTACTACTATAACCCCAACTTTAACAGAGAGCATCCCAACCTGCTCAAGAGGTGCAAGAGAAGAGTTGGCCTCAAGCGGAGACCCTCAGCTGCATCGGGGCAGGATGCAGAGATGGCTGATGAAAGGCAGCCCTCCCGAAGCCCAGATGGTCAGCCTGCAGGGGACATGCAGAAGTCTCCACCCATGACAACCACATCCACCAAGCGATGGGCTGAAGCACCTCCTCACCTTGGCAGTCCCCATACATCTCCACAGGCAGCTGCTCCTACATTTCCAGAGCCTGCTGGAGCAGCAGGCAGTGAGAGGTTCATCCCTCTCGCCCTCTTCTTTCTACCAGCGCACAGCAGCCAAACCCTGGCTGGCCTCCAGCGTGCTGCTTATGCTTCTCCACCATGTTTTGCAACTTCTCCACGTGGGCCAGGACATCCCACCTTTGGACCCGTGCAGAGGCGATGGTGTTGGACCCCAGCACAGCACGTGCTAGAGCGAGTCCAGACAGTTGGTAGCGAGTCAGTAGGGTCTAATAGTGTTGCTAATAAGTAGAGGTTAGTAGAGTTGGTTAGAAGTAGAGCCTAATTAGACTTTCTAATAAACTGTTTGAACAGTAAGCCTTTTTCAGTTGTTCTGTCCTGTTTGTACAGCACAAGCCCAGAGTGAGATTGTATTTCACCCATCCAAGTAGACGCAACTGGTCCATAAGCACTTTAATCATTTTGCGCAGGGAGCTGCCGCTAGTGTGGAGAAGGAGGTGTTCGTACCAAGTCCACCAGCACACACACAGGTGTCTGCTTGCAGAAAGTCCATCTTTGCCAAGCTAAAGCAACTAATCACTAAAGCACGTCCCCTCATCCGCAGATCCCGTACATCTCCCCAGGCAGCTGCTCCCCCACTTCCCAACCCTGCTGGAGCAGCAGGCAGGGAGAGCTTCTGTCTGCTGGTCTGATTTACACTACTGTTGTGATTACAAAGAGAAGAAGAAATTAGGAAGATGAAAATCAGGCTTAGTATTTTTTCACCATTTTTATGGTGAATATTTACATTAGGTGGTCATATGATTAAAAGCCTGATCCACAGCCCACTGAAGTGAATAAATGCCCTCTATATCAGGTAGTGTGGGGACAGCTCCCAGAAGAGGTGAAGAGATTTAAAAAAAAAATAAGAGGAGGAATAAGAACATTTAGAAACTCATTACTTAATAGATACTTTTGTGTCTTGAGTAGAAATGTTCTTTAAGATTGTCAGAAAGTGGTGCCCAAATAAATTAAGTCTTGATTGCCTCTCAGGCATTTAGTGTTCTTTACCCTGCAAGAGGTTAATAGACTGAAAGATTTTTTCTGAGCTTCCTCAGAGCTAAGAAATCCTTTGGGCCTGTACATGTTGGAAGATTCATATTGTAATTATTTTTAGATGTGTCTGGGGGTTTAATTTATTGCAAATACGTTTTTCTTGTCTTTACTCTTTTGTAGGGAGGAAGGGTAGACATGTTTACAGAAAAAACAATATTTTTTTTTTCCCCTAATAATGATGCCCATTTAATAACATTTCTGTTCATATGGAATGTTGTTCATGTGCATGCTGCTCTGAGGGCTAGCAGTGCACAGACTCACTGATGAAGAATTTGAACTTTTGAAATGTGTTTCTTGCATTAATCCTACATAGATTTCTTCCTTTAACAATTCTGAATCATATTCATTTTTAATCACTTGGGTGCTACAGATAATCTTGAATTTAAAATAGAGACTTTTATTTAGGGTCTACCATCAGGTTTTTTGTGGTTAAATTCATAAAGCAAATCTTCATATGAATTATGCTCGTGAAACGATGTAATTCACTATTTTGCTAGATGTAATTCTGGTGAAACACCATAAAATATAGTGATTTTTATTATTTGGATTTTAATCTTGTTTCTTTCCATTTATATTCAAGCCTCACCTTAAGATACTTTATTATAATTGAATTGCGGCTATAAAAAGTGCATTTTTCTAGATATAATTCCTGTGCTTTTGTCATAACACATTACCTTTTTTTATAGTTAGGGTTTTCTTAAATTGCATTTTCTCTGTCTTTCTTTTAAGAACAAATCTTACTCTCCTCCATAGTACAGAGTAATATTCCTGTGTTTTTCTGTGGTGTGAATTCTTAAATCAGTCTCTTCTTTGAGAAGGATAACAAAAGCTTAGGCCTGGCTTAACTGATTCCAAATCTGTTCCTGCAGAGAAAAAGTCTGCTTCTGGTGTCAGTCATGTTGGTCTGAATGAGGAGTCCTTTCAGCCCATGCAGCCGTGAAATTAAAGGAAAGATATGCTAAACTAAATGAAAATACCATCAAGCCATAGGCTTCCTGTCTAGTAGTTATTTTGACCAGGCAATTCTGACACTCTTGTCATGGGACAGTACGATTATTCTTATTTTATGAATGGACTGCTTGGGGGTTTGTATGAAAGATGTGGTAAAGAAAAACTAGAATTAATGAGGTGAAATGAAAAATATAAATCCAATTTGATTGTGTAAGGCAGACAGAATTCTTTGCTAAAATTTAAGGAGTATATTGTTACAGATTACTGTTGTCTTATGCTGATTTTGGACAGGTAACATACAAGATATAATTTGTATGGGTTTTGGGCAATGCTTTGTTGAGCAACAGGATTCCTGTGCATGGTTCTAACAAGACAGCATCTGAGGAGTTGAACTGGTATCATCCAGCCACAGTGCTGACTCTTTATCAGTCTCCATACTTCTTGTTACTATTCAATGTTTTCCCTATTGCAGGATCCTTAGCCATCACAATTATTCTCAAAGCTTTATATCAGAGAGGTGTTTTCTGTGATGCCCTTGCCCATCTTCCTTATTGATTCTTACATGAAAGCAGTTGATTAAACATATTTGGTAATTGTAAACAGTAATATTACCGTAGCTATTAAATGTATTGAACACTGCTGTCAGTACTGAAGCCTAATTTAGACATGTAGACTTGCTTTGCTGTTCATTAAAGAAAGCAATAACCTTTGAAAGATTTGCAGGATTCTGCAGCACCTGGTAGTGAACAATGTTACATATTAACTTGTTTCTTTCCATTATCAAGAAACCAATACTTGAAGTTATGCAGTGAATCAAGAATTGATTGTCAACAAATGTATAGATCAAGATGCTACCAAAGTCGCCTTTTAGAAAGTCCTTATACATTTCTTAATAGCAGCCTCCCATCCATGATGCAGCTGTAGTAACAGCAGGTGGTGTTTATGAAGATCTATACAGTGGGATGGCAGTAGGACAGAAATTTGCTGGATTAAGCAATGGAAATCATTCTTGTAGGTAAGAAAACACTGAGATCACTCACTAGAAAACCTGCAGGCTTAGGGATGCTGAAGATCCTCTGAGAGATGCTGCCGAGGTCCTTTCTGTTCTATTAAGACTCCTTAGTTTGATCTTTGGCTGTGCTTTAAGCATAGCCAAAACAAATCTTAAACTTGGTGTAAGGATTGCTTCCTGTAATGGAAAATACTTGGTTGACATGGTTACTTTGGTAACTGTAGTGCTGTTTCCTCTAGATACCATCCAGATTAAGGGTATCCAGTGGGAACATTGATGTATGAACCTTGTGCTGGCCATTTAGATGATGATGAATTACATTGTGTGAAAGTAGTTTCTTCAGTCACAAAGTCTATTTTAAGATTTAATTTAAAATGGTGGCTCCATACGGTATCTTGTATGCACATTGCTATGTGTGTACTATGAGGTCAAAGCATGCCTTTTAGAAAACAAATGCAGAACAAGAAACCCTATCTTTATGCTTCTATCTATATATGTTGTTCTTTTTATCAGAGGTGATCTCAGTGATTGCTTTCATGGCTGCTCCTGGCTGTCATAGAGCAAATCTGAGTTGTATTTTCTGGATAGTTTTGGTTGGCTCAGAGCCTGTCACTCTGTATGTCAAACCTCTTTTCTTTGTCCATGTGCATAACTTTACATTTATCAACAGTGAATTTCATCTGCCATGTAACTTTCCAATCTTGTAAGACATTTCTGTGAAGATAAAACCAATGCTGAAGTGCATGCCCGTTACAGGGTTTGTCTGAGGGGCCTTTTTTCTTATGCAAAGTTATTTTTTGGAGTTTTCCTTCCACCTCAAGGCTCAAATGCTATTTTTTTAGGAAACCTTCTGCCCCATCCCTCTCGAGGCTCACTCTCCAATTTCCTAACCTCAGTGTTAAATAATTAGTTTTGGAAGGCTGAGCAGAAAATAAAACTAAATTAATAGAGCATTTGAATGGTAGCTTTGTGCAGTTCCTCTTATGCAATTAGAAAATTATCTCAAGTGCTGGTCTTCCAAAGGTAATTATGAGCAAAAGGTTGAGTTCTCTTTTTTAATGAGTTCTGCCTGATGCTGAGAAAAAGATCTAGTCTGGTGCAGAGTATATTCAACAGTGCTAATTAAACTGTTCCTCCCACTTATTGTAAGTCAAATTAGTTTGATCGAATTGAGAAACTAATGTTTTAATAGGGCAGCTGTTTAAGCCTTAACAAAATAGTTTCATGTCAACTTAAATAAGAGGGTTTTTTTAGTGAAGCAAGAACCTATCTCCACTAAGTGAAATGGAGCTTTTTTTTTTTTTTAAATATTGTAAGCTGGACTCTTGAATAACCTCTGCTAGCTAAGATCCTGTTTCATAGAAGTATGATGATACCAATTATAATCCTAGGTGTGTGGCATTTATTTCCATTTTTGCATGGAATGGCTCTATTTTTATTTTATTAGAAGGAAAATGAAAAAAACCCAGGCATTATTGCTGTTCTCATAACTCAGCAGCTTAACTTGTTTTTATCTACTTACATGAAAGTAATAAAAACTTTACTATCAGAACTGCAGGAGACGGTTTATTGAAGCAAACATCACTCTGAAAGCTCTTTAGAGTGTTAGGACCAAAAGTTAAAATGCTAGGAGGGTTAGAATTTTTTGAGGCAGTTAAACCAAGTAGTGTATCACTTACTGAATTTCACCAGTTTGATGGGACTACACAGCATGAAGTATTTTTCTGTTATGGTTATGGAAATATTATCAATGAGTGGAGCATTGGTATCAACATCCTGGGCAAAATTTGCCTTTATTGCTACTTGGTCCTGCCCAGGCATACTGGATTTAGGTAGGGGTACTGCAATACTTTTTAAGGTATGCCACCCTGTTCTGGATGTTCTGCTTTGGGAGGACATTCAATGCCTTTCCTGCTGTGTTTGTATGACTGCATAGGTACATGTTTAAAACTAGTTCACCTCTGCCTGGCATCACTGGAGAAAAACCCTCTGGTGTGGTAGAGGCAGGAATCTTGCCCCTGCCTGTTCACTTTTGGGGCTGACCCCCTGGGTATGCTTGGCATTTGAGTACAGTTTGGGCCTGGGGGGGTGCTACTGGGGATCTCTGTCAACCCTGCTGGGGCCTGCACAGGACCCCAGCTTCTGTTTGGCAAGAGTGGGATGTGGGCTGTTCTATGCATGTCCACCCATGAGCTCCAACTAGCCTGGACTCCAGGGTTGGTCAGCAGCCGAGA